TTAAATAGCTCCAAAATTGCACAAGTTGGAAAGATAAAATTCAATATCTGGGGGTTTTGAACATGCGGAATTCAAAAATGCCAACAGCAAGGTTGTCAGATTTTGCGATAATATTCATAATTCTGATAACTTTTCACATGTCATAATTTTTGTATTGTAAACAGAATGCCTTATTTATTTTTGTTGCAATGAATTGCGCACGTTGAATTTAGTAAGGTCACATAATTCTAAATTTTTCCTTTGCTTATTACTGAGATACGGCAACACAACTCTTTCAGTAAGAAGTACCGGAACGTTTAAATATTTAGAAAATTGCACAAGTTGGAACGATAAAATTCAATATCTGGGGGTTTTGAACATGCAGAATTCAAAAATGCCAAGGTTGTCTTGTTTAGCTCCTCCTCCCGCAATAATATTTATAATTCTGATAACCTTTTACTGACACACTTCAAAAATTTAATATTATATAATTAATTAATTAATTAATTATTAATTAATATTAATAATTAAAATATTCAAAAAACTCCAAAATTCTGCGATTATAAGATTTTTTTAAATAATAGTGCTAAATCTTGCGTCTTTGTTCTTGGCTGTGTCTTCCTCAGGTGAGCGGATTATTGAGTCTGTTTTGTAACTGGTCCTAATTATATTGAAAGTTTAACCATTCTGGAGCAAATTTTGTCTGGCATTATTGAATTCATTAAATATTAACAACGTTGTCTGCGACCAATGCTCGAAAATATCAACGATTTGCGTGTCGTTTTTAGTGGACCTTTTTAGCGTTGACAGTACCAAACTTTTTACGAATGGCCTTTATAGGCATCTAAATGTAATTGATTATAAATTTATATTTTCAAATTTTTTTGGTTAGCGTTGGTTAGCTTTGGTTACTTTTGGTTAGTTTATATCCCTGCTCTGATTATTGATTAATAATTCCACTTTGGTAGCAAAGTTCACCGGCTGGCTAGACATTAATGTATATTGGAGCAGTAGTATTTGGAGTAATTTTGGTCTATCCTTGATAGCGGGCATAGTGGTCCATCTGCCCGAAACCTAATTAAGTAAAAATAAAGAAAATGGACGTTCGAAATTCTTTTGGTTTCAACGCTAAAACATTGCTTCCCAAAAAAGTGACGTAAGAATGAATATTTTCAATATGCTATGTGCTCCCAAAAATATGTGGCCAAATTATTCTACTTTTGCAACAGACAAAAAGATGGCCAGCAGATGATATGATTTATTTGGTCGTCTGGCATATCATATGTTACTGCTCATTCTTCTGATTCCATTTTGCAGACAGGAACGTCATGAAGTAGAATTAACAGAATACTGCTACGGTGTTTTTATTAAAATTTAGAATGATCCGGCAGAATCAGAATACTGGGGTGAAATTTAGAATTTATAATTTTATAAAGGCAGACAAATACGCATTTTTGGGAGCGCTGCATGTACATATAACATTAAACAAACTTGGAAAAAGCTCACGTCAATCGGCTAAAAGTTTTTCTTACCTTCGCTCTTGATCAGCTACGATTTTGTGAAAAAGTGGAATTTGAGATTCAATGGGGATATTGTGCGCTTTGAACTGGTCAGGTTTTTCTCTTTCCGGTTTATTGATTTTCCAAAACAATTCTTCTACCAATTTGTTCTCTTCATCCCTGGAAGGAACACAATAATGGAATTTATTGAAATTAATGTCATACTAGTTACAAAACTTCTGGATTCTTTCTGCGTCGGTTATTGTTAAATCGAACTTGCTGACGTTTCGCCAATCATCTTGTTGGCTTCTTCAGAGTTTAACTCCAAGTGTCTCACATTCTAATCTCTATCAGCTTATATATTGTTTGAAGGGGGCGGAACTTAGGGAGGGATGTGAACATTGTCTTATATGACTGATTCTTATATTGATGAGAAGTAAAAACCTTAGTCGCTGTTAACATTGTTTGGTTGCTTATAGATTTCTATAGATAGATTATACTCTCCAATCAATCAACCAGCGAAAAATCCGAGACTCTATAGAAATCTGTAAGCAATCAAACAATCTTAACCGCGACTCAGGTCTTTACCTGTCACCAATATGGGAATCAGTCATCCTAGACAATGTTCATGACCCTGCTTTAACTCCTCACCCCTCAAACAATATACAGGTACAAAGTAGAATGCGAGACAGTTTCAGCTAAGCTCTGAAAAAGCCAACAGGATGATTGGCTAAATGTCAGCAAGTTTGATTCAACAACAAACGACACAGGAGGAATCAACAAGTTTTGTAAATAGTATTACAGTAGCCTGTGGAAGTGTCTTTGAGAAATTAATTCTACCATGTATAATGCAAACCTACTTTTCTATTTGTCATACATTGGTGCTTCGTATGCTACCCTCACCTTTCGCATTTCCAAAACTGTAAGAAATGCGGGTCGATCAAAATCCGAAAATTCCAATTGTTGTGCTTTATGCTGCAAGGTATCAAGAAGAATTTAAATTTTTAAACAGAATGCTATTAGAATTTGCTATATAAAAAGTTTTGCATTATGGCATGGGAGAAAGTTTTCTAATATTTTTTTACATGGAAAAAGTAACCATTACCTGACAGTCATTTGAAACGGTTCCGGAATGGTAATGCCAATGTATTCGCATACTTCATTTGTTTTAATAACCCTTAGTGGGCTATTAGGTGCACTTCGGGTTTCAATAGGAGTAGGGTTGGACTCATTCCAGTTACTTTCCTTTTCCCTTGAGACATAATTACGCGAACTGCATCCAAATGGCTCCGGCGATGTATCTTGAGATGGTTTCTCGCTGGGAGTTTCAATTCTTACCGATCTACGAAAGTTAAAATAAATTGAGAACATTTTAACTGTATCAGCCTATTAATTGAAAGATATTTGACTAATTTATCGATAAAAAATCATATTATGAAAAGATTATATTATTTTTTATTCTCTATCTTCTTCCATAATTAGAATCAAATATCTACAAGGCATATACAAAATAATGTTATTTTAATTTGCTGGAATCTAAATTGAGTTAGCTATATTAATAAGCATATTGTTGGACTGGATTTTAACATAAATGTTACTTAGTTACCACAATTAAAATTTCAACAAATTAAAGAAACAAAGAACTTAAGGTTAACGGTATTAAACGTTTTAAAGTAATCCAGTATGTAATGAGTAAGTGAGTAAAATGTAGCAAAGGAAATGAGCAATGTAATTGTATTTATTATTGGCGAATTTCGTATTTTCATATTATTCTGTCATTTACATTAAATTATGTTATATTCGTGGAGGGAAACTATAAAATGGATAAACCGTTGGTTGTCCCAATTAATTGTTATTGAAAGTTGTATATAAGTGCTAAAAACTGAAGAATTTTTATTTTTTTTCTACCTTCGTGACGGCGGTTTAAAAACAAATTCCTTGTCGGAAAGTGAAAGATCATCATCATCAAATAAGTTGTCCTGACACTGCTTTTTGGGAAGCGGCGTTGCGCAAAATGGCTTTATGGAAGATTTCTTCTTCTTCCTTTCTTTGTGCGGATTTTCTTCTCCATGTTTTTTGTAGTTTTCGAACCATTTAGTATCCTTAGGAACAAGCATTCAACGTATAAAGTTATCTGCCGTACTATAAGTTCTGTTTCATTTTTACTAAATTTTTTAATAAATTATGAATTTTGGATGTTTCTGTTTATGAAGATTGGGAATCAATCCAGTGACCTAATTAAATTTGTTTTTTAAAGTTTATATAACGTTAAGAATTTTTTATTGCAAAATTTTCAACACAAAATCGTTACGTATGTGTAAGGCAGTACTCAACATTAATTTTATATATAAATTAAATTATTAAAAGTAAGTTTAAACAGGTACTTGTTTTACTAATTCTACTCTATGATAATTCTAGATTAATTAACTAATTTTACCTCTTTTTCAACATTCAGTTTCCTCAAATTTTCGCAAAGGCTTTTCTGCACTTCCTTCAATTTTTTTAGTTTCTTATAAAACTCTTTATTAGATAGATGATTGATATCATCGTATTCTGGAATACTATCAAAAAAGTCGACGAAAATCTTCACTTCGTTATTACTCCCCAGAACATTCGTTTTCATCTTTTCTTTCAAATTTTTAGTAACCTCATTATGCAAGTCTTCAAGGTCCTTTTGGGTGTACAAACATGCCGAATGATTTCTTTTTATACCGCCTGGTAATTTTATGCAATTATTGATATATACTGAAGACCTGTGGTCATACATTGCAATATCAATAGTGTTTACTTGAACCTTAAAGCATTACCATGGAAACCCTTACAAATATCGATCCCGATAGTTTTTTTGTGAATTTAACTGGGTTCGGAAATAAACGGTGTTGAACAGAAATCGTAAACAAATTTGACGCAGAGTGTTTCTACACATTCTGGTAGTGGAAGTGTTGCTCTTGTTTTCTTATTGTGAGGTACAAAAAAAAGACTGCACACTATTTTAGATGTTTGTTATTTATGAGTCATCATGATAGATATGTCATAATATTCAACATTTCTTTCAAATGTTTTTGGATACAATATGAAATCTCTTCGAATTTCACTTATATTATTTTTAAAACATATTTATTTTAACAACATATTTTCATTTTAAATTTAGAGAATATGTTCAAAGTTAAGGATTTAAATGTTTAGTGTATAGCTAATAATCATAATGTTGATACATAATTTGTTTATGTATGTATACGTGCAAATTTGTATTTTTGAAATAGAAAATGAAAACAATAAAATGCTGTCAAAAAATTAATGAAACAAATGTGATACTTTTATCTACTTCTTTTTAATACATGTATTGTATCAAGTTTTTCATACAACTAAATTTGTAATTGTCTTATTCGGTCACGTTGGAAACGATTGATTCCTTCAAAATTTTCAATTTTCGAACTCTTTGATTTTTAAACTCTAACGAATAAAACACATTTATTATTATGATTTATTGAATTAGTTAACAAAAGTAATCACCACAAATAAACTATAGTAACATAATCCGGTTTAGTGATTTGCCTTAATCAAGAATCCCGAAGCTATCATAATAGGGTAGAAGATGTTCCATATGTTTTCTGTATCTCTCATTGTTGTAGGCGTGATATCTAAATCCTTCTTTACTTTCGTCAATTATAATATTCTCGAAAGAGGCGTCTTTGCGACCCTCGGCTGCTTTAACAAAAGCTAATACTGTAGCTGCTCCCATTAAGCCTGAAAATAATAAATAAAGGCGAAAAAGTCATTTCGCAAAAAACAAACATGTAGAAACAAACTTGTTATTAAGCAAAAAGTTAGAAAGAGTTAAAGAGATTTTATGAATGTTTGACGACCAACTGCACCCCTTCTATAACGAGTATGAACCCAGTAGTAGTAGAATATTTACCGTAGAATGCTCTGTAGTTGTAATCCTTCTTAAACTGTTCCCTCGTTGGCACGCGTTCTAAGGAGTATTGCATTTTGGCAAGATTTGCAATCAACTGGGCGTAATAATGATCCAGTATGATTTCTATATGATCAAGTTTCACTTCAATTTTCGTACTAGTTGCTATAAAGTAGTGCAAATCTATAGCCGGGCTTGTAAATATATTCATTTGAAAGTCAATCTAAAAATCATTATTTGTTTGTTATTGTAAATATTTTTATATTAATTATAATTAAAGCAAGTAAAGTTTTTCGGGTTGCTTCATTTCATTTTACTAAAAGAATTGAAAAGTACAAATGAGGTTTAAACATTTTAAATTTGAAAAAAATTCGTTTCTAGGTCTGCATTTTAGCGGAGAAGCAGATTTACTCGTTATCGCAAAATAAAGAATCAAGAATCTTAAAACCAAAAATGTTCATAAAAGTAGGCATTTGGCTTAAGTTTTAAATTTAAATTCCTCTAACATATTTTTATCGTTTGTTATTATGAAATAAAATGCTATTATAATTGTCTAGTTTGAATTCTTGGTTAATTTTACTGAGGGCCTTAAAAATCCAACTTACAGTCATGCCGTCATAGATAGTCATGATCGCTCTAAAAACGCTGAGAGATTTAAAAATATGTAATATTACTGAACCATACATGCCTTGCCAATAAAAAAAATTGCACTTAAACAAATAAATCTTAAAGTGTGACAAGATTAGATGCAATACATTCCAAAAAGAACACATATTTTAAAATAACTTACAAATCGCAAATCTTTAAGCTTGCTATCTGTGTAATACGAGAACATCATGTTATTAACCCAGAGGTCACCGTGATTTAAAACGTTAAAACCCCCTAATTTTCTTTTTTGTGCTTGAAAGCCTCTCTCCAGAGCCTCGTCCCCCAGCGCTTGCAGCTTGTAGCCATATTTCTCGAAACCTGTAACAGAGTTTTAAAGTATTTCGACTTTATGACCTTTCAACAATCTCACCAGACCATCTTGAACAGGCATCGATTAAACCTTTATAGCCAGCCGAAACCCATTGCCTAACTAAATGATTATCTCCGTACAGTCCTTCGGAGTATAGTTTCACTAATGATGGATCCTAGTAAGAATTATATATCAATTAGGCACCATTTAAAACACAATGCAACCTCATGAATTACACTAATGTGTTGTAATGACATAGCATATTATTAAGTATTGTACTTGTTAGTATGTTGGCCATAGTGAGGTTTAACTGAAGAACATAAAATGTACTATAATTAATGTTTTGCTTTCCAAATGAATGTGGTTTTTTACGCCAAAGTATTGGTCGTTATATATTTTCCTGTAATACTCGTCTTATACAGTTTTGTTTTATTATATACGTAAGTTGTAATTTGTTACGTGATTGTTTTCTGACGAAACATCTAGCGCACTTGTGCCGCAATTTGTTGTTGTTGTTGTTATATTTTTTATTCACAGAAAATCCAAAGTCCTTAATTGGTAAAACATCTATCTTTTCTGGACTTTCCATTAATCTTTCTATAATTTTGTAATTAAGCAATATGTAATTTGGGTTTTGCATGTGATGAGTCTTTTATGTGGCACCTTTAAGCTAAGACGATACGTATAATGTATAATGAATTATACAGCGGCTTGTTTTTTTTTAAGACGATAAAATCATAATCTGCATAAATCTGCAATTAATTGGTGTTTCGACTAGGTGATTCGTTTAATGATGTAGCAATCGTATACAAAAGAAAATTAAATTTCGGACCTTACAACCGGTCGCACGAAGTTTTACAAAAACAATTTACCTTTTCATACATTATAACGGATGCCGCGTGCATCTGGGCCATCTTTTCAACAACCCGAAAGCAGTGCTCTAAATCGAAGCCGATGTGCCTTGGAAGTACTTTGAAACCCAAAGTCGTTAAGTCTTCGAGAATAATAATTGAATGAGGATTGAGGCATGAGTACAAGCACTGAGAAGAAAGCGTATAATACTCTCCTAAAATTGGATGCAAGTTCGCAAAAGCTCTCATAATTTGCATTCTACGGACCGAGAATGTCATACATTGCTGGAAAAGTGCGTCCAAACATTTCAGCTTCCTTTTCAAATAGGTGTAATTTATTTGCTAGGTCTTGTTTCACTCCCCCGTCCTCGTTGCCTACTTTTACAATAACGGATAATTTCTCTGTACGGTGCCTAAAATGTGTTCCGGCAAGGCGGTAGAGTAATTAAGAGTAATTGATTAATTCTAAAAGCATTATAGAGTCTCCGAAAGGTCAGTCCTTCATTGGCCATATATTTCGAAAAGGAAAAGTGGTGGTTACCAACAGGTATGGTCTGTTCATAGATATAAGAAAGTGACCAATTGCTTTTGAATGCGATTATCCAAGGGTGGTCATTAACATACAATGCAACAAGATTATTACCTAAAGTTTCGGATTTTAAATTAAGGTAAAATTGTGGTCCGTAATAGAAAATAATTTTATACCTACCTCTGTGTAATATTCTTTGGTTTGGTATTCTACATAGTTTAAGTTTATTAGTAATCATTCTTATTTCGTGTGTAATACAGCGTGTGGTGAATCGTGTTCGAATTATTCAAAATTAGTGCGAATCTAGTGTATCTCAGGAGATGCTCCCGCCCAAATGCAGGAAACACTATTCTATTGAGACTAAGGAAGTTATAAACAACGTTTATTTGACTGTCAATGAACGTGGTGCCAGCAAGCAAGCATCTTTAGAAGAAACGGCCACATTGACGAAAATTCCAATATCAACTGTATGGAAAAATGTGAATAATCCCATTTCAGCGAGGAAAAAAAAGAAGCGATGCTGACATTTTCTCGAGTGTAGTGATCAAGATATAATACGGCGTAAAATTTACCAGTTATACGGGGAACAAAGCGTGGCTACATTAATATCTTAATTAGGAGGCTTGAAAAAGATGAAACCGGTGTTAAATGTTGCAGAACTACCTTGTGGAAGTGTATTGAACACATGGGTTTTAGATTTAAAAAAAATTACAAAAGGCAAGTTTTAATGGAATCTTTTAGAATTCGGAAATAGCGACTGGAATATCTAGAAAAAAATAGGATTTACAGAGAACAACAAAGGCCAATTATTTACTTGAATGAAACCTGTTCGACACTTATGATACCCCGGAAAAGGGTTAGGTTGACTCAACTGATAAGTGCAAAACAAACGCGCCATCAAAAAGAGGTAAAAGAATAACTATTTTCATGCTGGCTCTAAAGATGGTTGGATTCCAAATGGACCTTCTCTGTCTGCAAAAAATATTAAAGATTCTTCTCTGCATTACCATGAAGATACCACTGCTGATTTATTTAAAAGTTGGTTTAAAAACTGTAGTTCCAAACACTTCTCCTAATAGCGTAATTGTAATGGACAATGCAAGTTATCACAGTAGACAGTTGACTAAAACCCCTTCCTCGTGTGACACAATAGCAACAATAATACGTAATACATAATAACGACATTTATTTTTACTAAGATTATACCAACAAGCAATTAATTGAGGTTCTACAAAGCTTGAACCTACAAAAGTACAGTTTACAGTACACAGTTTTAAGGCTTCCACCTTACCACCGAAGTTTTTAACATCCCTCCACAAAGTTGGATAAATTCTGTTAGAAAATGCAGGACAATCGTATATCCATATTGCAAATAATATAGAACAAATAATAATTAGAACAGGCCATTATAGCGATAGTGATGCTGCTATATTATGTGAATAATTTTAAGTAATTTAAGTAGGTAATAAAAATAATTTGTAATTTTATTTTAGATTTAAACATAAATAAATAAATATTGTTTAGTATCTTTCCTAACAAAACCCCAAATAATTAAATACTAAGCAAAGTACGGACTTGTTCGGCCATATTTCATTCTTACAGCTTGCCCGGGTCTTTCCTTGATTCGTGTCAGTTAGTCACTTTCTCTATGAACAGACTTTACTAAGTGAAGAGACATTTTATTTATTAATAATACTTAACTATTTATATATTTTTTTCACTAAATACCTGAATCCCACTTCGATAAAAACCAGTCATCTGTAGTTTTGATTTTTGCATAGTTATCTACTACCTCAGTTTTATAATTATTTTTTATTTAAAATTGTCAAATATGGTTTCCATATTACACAAGAGATTAAGTGACATTACATATAAAACAGCCCCTTCGATATTTTTATAAAAAAAAATTCCCTAATAAGTTCATTACATCAATTTTATTATTGGTGTTAAACTGAAGTAAGTATTGATTGAAATATTTGGGGCATCCATAATTGGTTTTAATGCTGTGGTGACTTTAATGTCTATATTGAGTATGTGCCATATTAATATGGTTTAAAAGTCACACACGAAAATGCCTATTCCCTCAGCATTATTGCTGGTCATTTAGGGTCGTATTTATTTTCGTTCCTCGTTTTATAATAATGGCTTGAAAACTTTACAATTTAGAATGAACATGATGCATTTGTCAAGTTATTTAAGATAGCCCATTCTAATATCTTGCTTGGCCTATTAATCCTCAAATAGCGACTATAAATTCCATAATTAGTGGTGTAGTAGTATACATGACGTGTCTGGTTAACTTATTGACGTTAGCAGTCTTTTTAAAAGATTTGAAACGAAATTATTTTTGTTTCAACCCGCACGGTTTTTCAGTCCTGATCATGTAATCATGTAATGTACTTAATCATTATCTTTCAAATCGCATTAATTTCAAAAATTACTTTCTTATTTCACTGCTACATTTTAATCAACAAAACATACCCCTGTTCTTTTCTAAAGATCATAGTTGTCCGAAATAGATCACTAGTGTAGTTTTCTCCTGCCGGTATGGCATCTTCAGTAGTGAACGAAATAATCTGCACCTTATCATTTTTCAGAAAGTTTCGAAGGGCTTTTAAAAAAAAGTCCTTTGTCATCCATGCCGGAATCTGCATCGCCCAACTATTTTAGTATTGTCACTAAAACCATTCACGCATCTCAATAATGGGCGAACTATGAATGGTCAAAAACGGAAAAGAGTAACGGATTTAAGTTATTAAGTTAAAGATAATACTCCCAATACCCTCCTTTCTAAATTTTCAAATCCAAGCAATATTAAAAAAAATCTTTGACTTGCTGCGAAAACTACTTTAGTATGTAAATAGTTCGTTCAGCATCTCAATATGAGCGCACTATGAATGGTCAAAAACGGAAAAGAGTAACGGATTTAAATTATTAAGTTAAAGATAATACTCCCAATACCCCCCTTTCTAAATTTTCAAATCCAAGCAATATTAAAAAAAAAATTTGACCTACCTTGCTACGAAAACCACTTTAGTATGTAAAATAGTTCGTTTGAACCATAGAACTGCTATATATATATATATATATATATATATATATATATATATATATATATATATATATATATATATATATATATATATATATATATATATATATATATATATATATATATATATATATATATATTGCCATTTTCCATTGCGTGACAAAAGTATCAAAAAATAAATTGATTGAAAATTATCTAGGCCCTTAATTACAGTGATTTTTATAGCCAGAGTAATAGATGCAAAAAATGACTGGCGTAGGTGCGAATTAATCTGCAGAATTATATGTTATTTCCTTGCTGATGCTAAATGAGTTATAATTTTGTAGAAAATTTATTAAACAATCTTACACAACAAGTTTTATTAGATATTGTTGTTTGTACTCTTAATAAGTTGCATGGGATTGATAAATGACCAGAAATTTAGTAAATTTTCTGCATTTCTACGTTTTTATTATCTTTAGTTGATGTTAAATTTAATTATCAGTTTTAAAAAAAATTGATCCTTACTTCTTACCAAGTGTACCATGTTTTCAAGAACATTAGGTGACGATATTCTTTTATTTAGTTCCATAGTTTTTCCTCCTTACGTTCCAGTGATCTCGTTGGTGTCTAACAACATTATGCTTAATTAGGTAACTGTACAGATACAGTTTTATTTTAATTAATATAAAAATTCTAAGGCAATCTGTTTGAGAAAACATCTATTAATATAAATATGCATATAATATACAATATTTTCCTTATGTTATAGGTACACAGTCCACGGAAGTTTTTAAAAAAAAAATTCTTTATGTGCAATTATATACTTACTAAATTTTATAGTCTGTGATTGTATCTTTCACAATAAATTTGGTTTATCTGGTTTTGATGGTGTGGGAGGAAACTTTTTTTTTAATTATTAATGCATTTGTCGAATATATGTCGATATTGTCTTGAATTGAATTAAGTAATTTTTTAGTTGACTTGCCGAGTGATCAATTGGTCAGCATTCAGATTACGCGTAATGCAATGTAGCTATAAGTATTCTTTTTAAAATAAAAGTGTTTTTAGCTTTAAATAATTTATTTAATACAAAGAATATTTAATATTGTGGATTGTCAGACCATTGGTACTCGAATCCTTGTTTTAAGCCAGTTCTGCAAGTTACACTGAAACAAAGACACAAATAATATTGTTGTCAATCGCAAGCTACCGCTGCAGATTTTGCGTTGCAACGCTTTATGTTTTCAGCTTTTTAATAAAAATTACATTTTTACACCATTTAATCTTTAAAATACCGGACGGACTTACTTTTGTTGACTACAGTCCACTTTTAAAAAGCATTGAGGTCCCAAAATCGTAAAATAAGTATAGCCAACTTGATCTGATGCCGGAGATTTTACCCTTTTGAGGCAATTGTAAAAATCGCCGTCACATTTACACGACGATCTGGAAAAGTAGAAGCTGATAAATAGACAACCAATAAGCCAAAAATATGTTATGATTTGAATTTCCCATCAATTAGCGCCTTAAATTCAATCTGCAGATACAATTAGAGATTAATATTTTTATGTTAATATTTGGTGTTTGGTCTAGCAATTAGAAAACTTTAATTTTTATGGTTTATTTGATTAAGCAGGTTTTTTTATTGCTCTAAGAATCTAGTGACTTAAAACTTGTGCTATCTGAAAGTTAAGCAGGAGCAAATTGTGAAAACATTTTTTTGTACAAATATTGGAATTACAGATGTTTTTTTATTTTATTTTATAAATAACTAATATCAATCTCAACAAAAATTATGATTTATTTTACATAACAAAATAGAAAAACAGTCAATTTCGGTCCCAAATGGTTTTAAATTTAAGTATTTACAAAATCACTACTACTTTTCAAGAAATATTAAAAATTAATATAACACTTTAATACATCTTTTTAAGTATCATAAAATGTACTTACCTTCTGAAAAGTCCATTATTTTTTAGACCAAACCGTACTTTTCCTGGTAATATAAAATCCAAACAATTATCATGATCTTTGCAACAATTATCTGAGCCAGAGAAAGCTCCTAAGTCATTCTGTGATTCGGCCACGTTCCCCTTGCCGCACCATTTTGTACCTATTTACGCATATCGTTTTTTCATCGATATGGTTATATTTATTAGTTACTCAAAGAATAAAGGTTTAGCAAACAAAATTAATTGTTCAACTTTAATAAATAATTAGCTGCTTTACACTTACAGGCTTCTAGATTAATTCTAAAATAATGTTTTTTCCACAAACAAAAGCATTCTGAAATTTCAACGGTTTTTTTGTTCTTAAAAATGGCATAATCTAAGAAAGTATCTGACCATATACTTTAAAATTTAGAGGTGAAATACATTTTCTTTGCCAAAAAAGTCATCAACTCCTTATTGTTCTTTTCACAAATATAAGCCTGTCATGTCTGATAATATCCGGTAAAATAACAGACTTAACTCCTCCCAATTCATAACACGCTTCATACTGTTAAATGCAAGTTACTGATTTTAAACCCTAAAGGGGCGTATGGAATTAGTTTTTTAGTTTTTTTTTTCTAATTATTATCATTATTGGAACTGTGTGTTTATTATCGAAAAAGTATGAAATATTACAATTTTATGACTACAAATTCAAAAAATGTTTTAATAGGCACACTACCACCCAAAGAGCGCTTTTAAGCGTTACCTTTTTCATAAAAAAAAATATTATTTCAAGAAAATAACCTACCACAAATAAAAATAAAATCGCTCACCAACAAACACAAAATGCCACAACTATCTAAATAAACAAAAATTCACAGTCGTTTTGCAATGCATATCATCTCATTATAAAAAATAAAGGTTTTTAGAGTGTTTTCGTCATTAATAAGTCGTCTAAAAAATCTATTCGTATTTTCTAATCAATTTAGAAGCTTTGTAAGTCAAGATCTTTGAAATAATATCGTGTTATGTTGAGATAAAAGTAACAACTCTTTTTCCTTGTACTAGTACTACTTTAGCATTTTACATAAATAAGACGGCTGATTGGGTTTTAACGTTTTGCAAGAGTGAAATGACGGAATAATGGTTGTTATACAGAAATTAAAGGACATGTTACAAAACAAACAATATTGAGGATTGTATTACCGGGGTAAATTCCCTGCACCTTGGCCTTGAAACTTAGAATCGCGCCATGGAAAAACGAATTATTTGTGTCTAGACCTGAAGTTTCCGGTATCAGCCCCACTTTCTCAGCAATTGCTGCTGTCTCTTTCACCGGCGCTAATGCAATTCCGAAAAGATGAACTAAAATGCAAATATTAAGTAATTATTAACATTTTACAGATATAAAATTTGTGATTTAAATAAGTGGAGATTTTTAATTTTGAAACATATTTTTATGATAAACGCATCAAGCATATCGTATTGAGTATCATAAGTATATGAAAAGACAAAAGAATATGAGATATAGTAGACTCGAAAATTAATTGGAAAATCCGAAATTTTCTTTTGGAGGTTATAGGGAATCTAAGAATACGTTCTCAGCTAGACTTTTGACTTTTATATTTTGTTATGATAACTTTGCTACTTTGTTGCGAAAATACTTTGGGAAAACTGATATTTCCGGTTTTCACTTCATTCTATGATGCAATACGTAAAGCAACGTAAAAGGTTATTGATTAAATGATTACGTATGACCTGTCTCAAATTCTTGGCTTTTGACGACAATTATTGAAATAACCTGCCGACAGCAATAAAGCACCTGACCAGATAAAATGACAGATGTAATAGAAAATACGATAATACTAAATATATACAAATCAGCAACAATCACTTAAATAAGTACGTTTTTATTCAAAAACTAATCCTATTTAACTCTGGGAGTGGTAACCATGGGCTCTATGTTATTTTGTATGCGCACGTAAAAGTCTTCAAGTTTTAAAATGTACAATTTTTCCACCTCTCGACAAGTATATTATTAATTACATTTTTAAATAAATTTATTGCATTTGTACTTAAAGTAGGAGAGTAATATTTTCCCCTCTCACATTTGAATTTATTTGTTTTTTAAAAGCATGTGAACAACACTTAACAAAGTTTCTTTCTTGCAAATGGATTTAAAATAAATATCATTTTGAGTTTCAGTTTTTGAACTTGATGAACCCGGAATATGTTCTAAAAGATAATTTTGAAACCAATTCTCAAAAAGTTGTGCACTTGTATCATCATGAAAGTCCAAGAGTCCTTAATATTCTTTTCAGTCAACAGCAAGCAGTTTGAAGTAAAAAAAAAAACGCTATCTAATACTTATAATAAAATTATAAATTGGTAATCGATAGGTCGAGAAAATTCAAATTTTGTTCCAGACTTTTACATTTTTAAATGTAATTAAATCCACCTTTTATATTTTAACGCATCTGATCGTAGTTTTACTTACGACTTTTTTCTCATTCTGCATTTTTTGATTTTTATTGTTAAGCACAATTAGTTTTGAGAAATAAAGAAATCTTTCACTAACTTTCTTTAAAAAAGTCTTGATGCAAAATAATATTTTTAAATGGTAATGCGGTTTTAAGCAAAGTACCTTTAAGTTAGTTATTTGAGTACCCAAGTTTTTTATATTATTCACATCGATTTATTAGTGAATAGTGCATTTAATAAATATATTAGACTTCTATTTTATCTAAATATTTTTAACACTTTATAATTAGATTTTCTTGACCAGTGGGCATGGAGAGAGCTTGTAGCCTTACAAGAAATTTTATTTTTATGCGGCAAGTGGAGAAATTTATTACTTGATCATGCAAAATTATATTAGATTTGCAAATTACTTACGGATAAAACGGAGTATAGCTCTGCGAAATCCAGACCATCTTCCATGTTCGTTGGGATTTGGTTTACTGATTATCTTCACGAACTTTTTCTTGACAGCATCATAAATATTTCTTTTAGGTGCAGTCACATTCGTTTCTTTTTTATTGTTTAGCAAACTTAAAGTGACTTTCGGGA